CATCCATACTCTTTCTTGTTTCCTTGTATGCCTTGTGTTTTTTGTTTGTTTGTTTGTTTATTTGTTTTAGAATATTGGGCATTTGAATATTACAGTATGGTGACCCTGAAAGTCAGATTCTTCCCTTTCCCCAGAGTTTACCTTCTTTTTTTTTTTTTTTTTTTTTTTTTTTTTTTAATTGTTGAAAGCTGTAACAGTTCATTGGTTTGCTAACTTTCCCAAACTATTTTTGCAAGGACTATACCTCCTTGTGTATGGTCACCTAAGTCTCTGTGCCTTAACTTGTGCTCACTTAGTGTTTTGACAGATTTCCTTGAATTTCAGGAGCTAAAAAACAACAACAAAAAGAAATGAAACAAAAAAGTGCCTTTTTGTCTTGGAACATGGGCTCAGTGCCAAGATGGTCCTTCAACACTTAGCCAGGCTTATACTGAGCCTAGGGATCAGACCAAGATGAAGTTTGGACCTTCAGCACTTAGCCAGGCTTATACTGAGCCTAGGGATCAGCCCAAGGTGAAAGTTTGGAGTCTTCTCACATGTCTTCCAAACATGTGTCTTGCCTTGGGTCTGCTGCACCTCCTCCAGAACCAGGGACCAGTGTCCCATTCTGGGAATGTGGGTTTCCTTCTTCAAGACTGCCACTGTACTGAGGAGGAGGTGAGGAGAGAGTAAAACTGCCACAAAACTTTCCTACTATTTTGAAGTTGCCTTTTTCTTGGTTCATCATTTTCTTGGCTGCTGTTAACCTTTGATTGTTTTCCAGAGTTCTGACAATATTGGCGCTGATAGTTTCTGCTTGTGTTTTAATGTTTTTGTGGAGGGATGAGAGCTTGGAATTGCCTGTTCTGCCATTTTGTTGGCAGCACTCCATCAGCCTTAAGTGCTTTACCACTAAAACTGATGTTATTTTCAAGAATGCCCTTATGCTTGAAATTCTCCACATTCTCTTCTATATAGAGTCATTTTCTTTGAGGGAGATCTTTGGAGCTCTCGGTTCTTACGGCCTGCCTCTTTCCCTGGGCAA